TCCTGCCAAATTTAATTTTATTCTTAGTGTTTCTATTTTAAATATAGGAATCTAAGACATGTAAATCCTATAGTTTACTTTATTAAATACCTAGAACGCTGTGAAAGTTTACCTAAGACTTCCAACTTATGATTATATAGAATAACAATTAAATTTACATGCATTACATATTTTATCGCATGGCTCAAAGAATTCAATTTTTGAAATGTTTATAATTATAAAACGCACCATTCGTTTTTTAAATGGAATAGCATATTTTATTAAAGAGTGTACAGAACAATTTGATCGATAAGTTTTAAAAAAATGAAATTTTCTAAATTTTATACTAAGATAATTGAAACTCTCAAAATTAATTTTAAAAATTGGGCTAGATGGGTTTTTATTGTGTTGGACGGGTAACGTAAACAAGATTTTTTAGGGTGGGGGGGGGTTAAACTTGGTAGGAGGAGGGTCCGCCTCCAAATTCTCATTTATTCAAAAAAGAAAAGTCCCAATCAAAAAAGGAAAAGTTTCAATCATAAAAGGAAAAGGGTCAATCATAAAAGGAAAAGGGTCAATCATAAAAGGAAAAGGTTCACCAATCAAAAAGGGAAAAGTCCCAAAGGTTTAAAAAGTTCGATAAAAAAGAAGTGTCAAACAAAAAAGGAAAAGGTCCAATCAAAAAAAGAAATGTGTCAAACAAAAAATGAGAATTCCCATTCAAAAAAGGAAAATTGTTATTTTTTAAATTTTTTTAAAATTTTTTCTTGTCAATTCTTAAATTTTAATTATTTTTATAATTCCTTCTTATTTTATTTCTAACTTTTTATGATTACTTTTCTTTATTTTTCTACTATATTTTCTCAATTTATTTTTCTTCTCATTTTTGATAATTCTTTTGTCTTTTTTAAAAAAAATTATAAATCCGTTATTTTTCTTCACCTCTCTGCTCCATTTTTTTTAACAATTCTTTACTATTTTTTCATCATACATACAATATTCTTTTTATGATTTTTTCTCCTTATATTGTAATCTTTTACATATATTTCTAACCTTTTCAATCTCTTTAAGTCATTTTTAATCATTATTTTTTTGATCTTATCTCAATTTTCTTTCTTCTCAATTTTAATAATTATTTTTAATTTTTACTAAATTTTTGGCAAACAATTTTTTATATTAAAATTTTTTACATATCAAATTATTTAATTACAATTGCCAAATTAAATTAACATTTGGTTATAATGCACCTCTTTAAAATTAAATAATTTTGAACTGTAATTACCAAACGATATGTAAATTAATAAAAATATAATCATTTTTAAATACTTATTTTTAAAATTTTAATATTTATGCATATTAAATATTTTTGAGCAAGTAAAAAATTTTTTATAATTATTTTTAAAACTATAATCTTTGATTTATGAATAATTAATCGTAAATGTTATAATCTAAAGGATTTTAGTCTTTTTTCCTTCCATTTGTTGAGTGTATATTTTAAAAAGAATATTTTTATTTTAAAAAATAAAATTATGAAGATTTGGTAAAAACGAAGGGAAAATCATTAATAGTGAAACAAAAGCTCTAATAATTGACCCTTTAAAAAAGGATAATATCAAAAATATAGCATCATGTTTTAAAGCTAGCTATAAGACAGTGATAAATATTAAATACTCTATTCTCAAAAATGAAATAAAATATAGTTTGACCAAAGGAGGTTCACATGCATGCAATAAAAAATCAAGAACAGGAAGAATATATATTAAATTGTATAAATTTGGATTGCACTTTATCCTTAAAAAGGTTATGTGAAATGATTAAAGAAAGATATGATAAGGATTTAGGTATAGCTTTAAAAGAGTATCACTACGTTCAGTTAGAGAAAATACCGAATCAATTATCGAAATTCGCAAAGAATACGTGAATTGGTTTGCTGATGTAGCTTCGAAAAATTCGGTTATATGGATATTTACAAATAAATAAAAAGGCTATTAAAAATGTTCAAGGGATAAAGACAACTTATACTATCATTGCTGCTCTCACAATTGCAGGATCAGATTCGAAGTTCTTGATGACCCCTGCAACTTTATATACTTTAGCAACTTTGTAAATGGAATATTAAATCATTTTGTAGAAGGTAACATGATGAATATGATTTTTATGCTGGATAATGTTCCATTTCATCATAATCATACAATTAGGGAATCGATAGAAAGAAGAGGGCATACATTGAAATACTTACTACCTTAGAGTCCTTATCTTAATAAGAATTTTGTCAGAAATTAAAATCCCAGTAGCGAAGAAGAATTAATTTGTTTCATAGAGCATGGAGAGAGAGGAATATCTGAGGAGAATACAAAAAATTATTTTAGAAATATGGAGACCTATTCCAAAATGTAGAAGAGGGGAAATTATTAATGATTAATATAAATTTTTGTTTCTTACTATATACATTATATTGTAATTGTAATTAAATAATTTTATATGTATAAAATTCTATTATAAAATATTTGTCTGCCAAAAATTTAGTGAAAATTAAATATAATTCCTAAAAAGAATTATTAAAACTGAGAAAAGATGAAAAATTATGATTAAAAATGACTTAAAGAGATTTAAAAGGTTAGAAATATATGTAAAAGATTACAATATAAGGAGAAAAAATCATAAAAAGAATATTAGTATGTATGATGAAAAAAAAGTAATGAATTGTTAAAAGAATGGAGCAGAGAAATAACGGATTTATAAATTATTTTTAAAAAGACAAAAGAATTATCAAAAATGAAGAAAAATAAATTGAGAAAATATAGTAAGAAAAATAAAGAAAAGAAATCGCAAAAGGTTAGAAATAAAATAAGAAGGAATAATAAAAATAAATAAAAATTTTAAAAAATTGACAAGAAAAAAACTTTCAAATATTTAAAAAAAAATACCGATTTTCCTTTTTTGAATGGATTTTTCTTTTGATTGAACTTTTCCTTTCCTTGGCTTTGATTGACACTTTTCCTTTTTTGATTGGACCTTTTCCTTTTTTGTTTGACACTTTTCCTTTTTGATCAGACTTTTTTCTAAATCTTTGGAACTTTTCCTTTTTTGATTGACACTTTTCCTATTTTGATTAGGTCTTTTTCTTTTTTGATTGAACCTTTTCCTTTTATGATTGACCCTTTTACTTTTTTGATCGGTCCTTTTCCTTTTATGATTGAAACTTTTCCTTTTTTGTTTGGAACTATTCCTTTTTTGAATGGGAAACCCTGTAATTTATTCTGAAAATTATATCAATAATTAGTATATTATTTTAATCTGTTCGGTAGATGGTATAAAGAAGTAAAAATTATTCATGAAATACGATTTTAATGCCAATATTGGCATCGTGCCAGAACATAAATTATTGTAGCACCGAATATTTGGGCCCCGGCAATATTTAATGCTTAGTTCTTATTAATTCATCAGTCAATTTTGCCAGTCACTAAATAAAATCCGAGTTATAAATGAAGTATGTCTTAATATCAGATTAAATCAATTACATCTTAATACATCAATATGTCCCCCGATTCAAAATATTTTCGAATCTTATGATAATAGGATCTTTATAGATATAATTTGTCCTTTACTATTTATAGATAAAGAAATAAAATAGATAAAATCTCATATTTTGAATCTAGCTATATTTCAAAAATTTGGTATGATACTGATCATAAAACTGTCTTTAGCATGAAGTTTACAAAACTTTTGAAATCATTTATTACAAAGATTAGGGCAATATAGTACTTTAAATTATCATAAATTGGCTCAAGATTCATGATAGAACCAAAAATAATAGACGCTCTCTAAAAGCAATTATAATAAAAATTTGCCATATTTTAATCTTAAATACTTACGTGAGCCAGGAAAATAAATTGGATTCCATAAAAAAATTAGATCAATACTAGGTGTATTAATACTTGGAAGCAAAAGTAGTCCCCTAGACTTGTGTCTTTGGAAAATATGATACGATGTGAAAATAAATACGATTAGGGGATACCAGGGCACAGCAGACCATAGGGCCCATGAGTCTAATCCTATTTATAATAAAGCAAATTAAAACTAATGTTTGAAATTTAATCCTTTAATTTTTTTTCTTAAATTTCTCAATGCATTATGTGAATATTATTTTATAATTTTTTTTTATTTCAATTCCTTCTTCAGTTTATTTAAATTTTTTTTATTCTCAAATTTTATTAAAATATTGAAAAATTGAGTAAAGTATATATTTTATTTATTTTAGATTTTTTTATTTTTTAAATTAAATACGATTTTCAATTATATTATTTTTTTTTGGGGGGGGGGGGGGAGGGGGGTGATAAATCAGAAGACTAAATATTTAGGAAATTAAATCGATCTTAAAAAAAGTAATTCCAAGGATAATGAATGAATAATTTAAAATTATAGTTGATTATTCTTTGCTTCAATAAAAATGCTATTGAAATAGGGGATTTTGGATTATTTTGGCTAATTAGTTTGAAAAGTATATTAGCTTCCTTTCGAATGAACAAGATAGTGAAACTAAAAGTGGCAATCTAATATTAAATAGTTTTTGGGGAAAAATGGTGTTTATAATGTAAATAGGATTTTAGCTTTTAAAAAATAATTTCTTTTTCCAAAATGTTGAATTGAAAGGTTGTGTTCAAAATTTTATTTTTTTCGTAATTTGCGGGAAATTTTATTCAGATTTATAATCATTTTTATTTAAACCTAATGACGGCCATTCATATCAGAAATTTAAAAATCATTCACCAGAATTTTCATACATAAAAAGCAACAATATAATTGATAAATCATTTTAAAATATAATCTATTTAAAAAAAAATTATTTTATTCTTAATCATTTCACTTTATTGATATTTTTATTTTATTTAATAATGTTATCATTATTCCATAATTTACCTTACAATAAAAAATAATAAAAAATAATATATTGTAAAATATTATGCTGAAATATATCTTATTGATTAGTTTTATAAATAAAATAATATAATGAATAAATTTTGGTTAAAACTATAAATTCTTTATCTATCTTTGTAAAATTTAATATAAGTAAAATTTTGTATATAATTTTATAAAATTGTTAGATCGCTAAAATAAATTTCTAACAAAATCCGGAATGATAATATTTCAATTTCATATTGAATATGTTCCAATCTTTATGTCAATTCTTATTACAGGGCTAAGTACGCTAACAAATTATTATTTTTAAATATGTTATTATTTATTTTGGATTACTTTAAGAATAAGGATTCACAATTAAAAAATAATTCTAATGAGGGAGCCACTCACCTTATCATTTAACAAAATAAATAATATATTTAGATACAATTATTAAAATATTTCTGATTGTTGAGTTATCCTTTGGGCTCTTACTATCTACATTTTTAGTTTGCCAATTTGAAATATTAAACTAGCTCCAAGCTAATATATATATAAAATACTTGGAATTAATAAAATTTGTCATTTCTATTAATTCTTGGATGTCAAATATAAAACAATTTTCTATTTATGGTCATTTTTTCATGATGTTCTTCTTTCAACGTTTTGGAATTACATTGAGCTCATAATAAAAAAGTCGGCTGATTAGTCTAAATTTAATAAATTTTATTTTTATCAATTAGCTTTCCCCATTTCCAACATTATGCAAGCCTAAAGTTTATTTGTGTAACTCACTGGGTGTTGTGTTTAACATTTGCGTAACATTTCTATCATTTAGAATTATATCTTTCGTTTTTATTAATTTGATCAAATAATTTACCAATCAAAAATAATTTTGGATATATTAATTTGTTCTTTAATATAAAGTTTCCACAACTGTTTTATTTAATCCTTAATTTTTAAGCAAAGCTATTTTCTTATTGAACGTAAAAATTTATCCGGAATATAAAATGCTTCAATTAACATACTTTATTCAACTAACAAATTTTTAAAATAATTTTCCAAAATCAATTCATTTGGAAAAAATATTTTGATGATTGAAATTTAAAAAGGTTTTAATCTTCAAACTTTTAGAAAAATTGTCAAACCCGATTTTGGGATTTCCATTTATTTTAAAAATTCAATGATTTCGTAGGGAAAAAATATGTGAAAATTTTTGTAGAACAAAGTTTTAAAATCACCAATATAAGAGTAAATATTTCTGAACAGAGACTAAAACACCCCCCACCCCTTTAGTTTAAATTTTAAATTCATTTTGTCTGATATTATGAATGAGGATCAGATATTATGAATTAGGAGGATAGAGGGGATGAGTACGTATGGGAAAATAATTTTGTGTAAGGGCGATGAATCAATTAAGTAAATACGAAAATATAAAAACTATAAATTAATAATAATTTTGCTGAATAAACATTTAAAATCACGGTGAAATATTATTTATATCATATAGGCTCAAACCGAAAATTCTATAAGTATAATGTGGAAGTATTATTTTATAAATTAAGAATTAAACTTAAAATGGAATTTTTCGGTAAACTTTTTACCTTGAACTCAGATTCTGTCAGCACACAATCCTTGAAACTTTTGAATTATATCAAAGTTCTTATATGTTTTATGACTCAACTATGGGAAACGAATAATTGATAGAACAAGAATACGAATATCTAAAAGTTAAAAAAATATAAATAATGAAAGCAAAAAAATGGAAAATTGGAATTTAGTTTAAAAGGTCAAATATACTATATTTCTAATTAAATTGATATGACCAAACTGTGATATCGTAATATGTTTTGTATGACGTTTATTGGTTTAATATAATAATCAACAGGATAAGAAAGTCTTTATAAATAATAACTTACTTTTATGTTTTTTTTAAAATCAATTAATAAATGTCAAACATAAACCATTCTGAAAAATTAATTTTCTTTTGTTCTAAATATATAAACATAATAAGTTATAATATTGGAAATATTTTTTGAAATCTATATTATATGTATTAATATATAAAGGTCATATTAATCTTTTTTTGTCCTTATCATTTAAGTTGTAGAATCTTTTTTTTTAAAGATTTTCAAAAATATACTATTTCGAAGTTAAAAATTCTGATTCTACCTTTAATTTCTGGGTGTTAAAGTAACAGTTACAAATTTTAGTCTAAGGGAACCTTTTTTTGTAGAAAAACGATCATTCCTTAAGGCCATACCAAAACGTTTTAGCACAAAATGTTAAAAAATAACAAGCCAAAAATCGAGCGAAAAAATTCCAGAAATTTAGATATGTCGAACGTTTGTACCGTAAATGATTTATCGTCATCTTATATTATATTAATTCCAAATAATTCCTATATTTTTAAAAAATAGCAGGGTCGTGCTAAGACAATTGGCTACCCGGAACGAAAATAAATTAGTCTGCCTATTAAAAACCACCAGTTTATTTAAGCTCATAGAAAATCAATCATAAAATAACCAACTGTCATTTTAAAATGGAATTCGTGATAAGCAACTTAGAAAGTAAATTAGGTTATATGATATGCAATATATTATAATAAAATAAAAATAATATAAACGACTGAATTAGATTATATTAGGCATAAATATATAATATTTACACTTATTTAAAAGTACAATTTACTATTAAATGTATAAGAAAAATTTTTTGGCGGTCTCTAAAATAGTTTAATTTTGCCGCTACCCACCAGTTACACCGTTTGCAATGATATGAATCATAGGTGAATGTTTAATTTCTCAGGTAAAACGCTTTAATATATCCGATAAATAATGTTTATTTAAAGTAAAAAATTACAATAAGATGAATATATAAATATTTAAAATAATATACAATATTTATGTTAAAAAGAATTATTTATTAATATAAAATAAACAAATCCAAAATTTAAAAAATAAAGAAGAAATTCAGAAAAACGAGAAGAATAAAAAAGGAAGAGTTTTGGAGTAAAAACTGTTATTAAGCTTGTATAATTCGCTTTAAGGATAACTATGATCAGCCTCCGTCTGAGGAAGAAGTCTTCTCGAGGATCGCCAGTAAGCAGGTTGAGATCCTAAATTTTTGAAGAAGGGTAATACATGCATACCAAAAGAAGTTAAAGTTGTGGATGTTATTGGAATAAAGATAAGATCTTCTGAAATTTCAGAATGTTTGGAAATTTTAATCTGTTCTTTTTGCTCTAATAAGTTTAGGGCTAATGGGTTTATAAAAAATAGTCCCAAACGAGAAAAATAATGTTAAGTTCAAATATTTATTAAAATTACCATATAATATTTTTCATGTATTTCTTCCAATTTTTCACAATTTTTATTATAAAATTGAAATTTTATTTTCTTCTGATTACAAATTTGGAAAGTAAAAAGGATTATTTTATGAAAATGAAAAAGAAAAGTAAAAGGAAAAATTAGATTTAAATATTAATTAAAATGGGGATGGCTCCCATCCTCGTAAGAAGAAGTAAAAGTATGATTAATTGGATAAAGTATATATAAAAAATCAGTAAAATTATCTTCGATTAATCAAATTTCTATGACTTCGAGTGTTTAAGAATCATCCACAAGTTTTCAGATTATGTTGAGAAAATGGAAATGATTTATAGGTTTTATTATTAGAAAAATAAGCAGAGTATTTATTATATAACTTAATTAATTATTCATCATTTCAAAAGAGGAGGAGGGGGGGGGGGGTTGTTTTGTTAGTTAAAGAAATAAGTCAATATTTATGATTTTTTAAATTTTCTTTGCCAGTTTACTTAATGAAAATCTATACCAATAATGAGAGACTTACAAGAAAGTTTTTCTATTACAACCGATATAGATTCTTTATATGTTTAGGTGGGCCTAAATTTTTTAAAATGTATTCATTCTAAATTAGTTTAGCTCATATTTGTAAATGATTTTATAAATTCCATCCTGAGATTTCTAACTAGCTATGTAATATTAATTTAAATTTATTTTAAAAAATTCAGCTCTCCGAGTTTGTAATGTTTTTTAGAATTTTAGAGAGTAATAATCTAATAATACCTGACTCTGACTACAAACAGCCCTTTCAATATCAAGAATTTTTTGGTAAAAAACTTAAAATCATTGTAGAATTTTTTTAAAAAAATTAATTTATTTCCTAATAATATAAAAATTAATTAGGTTCAAAAAAAAACAATTTACAAAAATATATATTGCGAAAATATGCAAATTTAAAGTGTTAAAAAAATAAACCACGGTATTTTTGGTCAATAATTTGTAAAACCTACATTCTGAAAAGATTATAATATTATATATAGTCAATAAATCAATCTAAGTGTAAACTTTTATAGCCAATTATTGATATATTTATACAATGTTAATTTATTTAAAAAATTTAATATCATAAATTATTTAATTTTAATATTTGCCTTTCTTATTTTATTTCAACCTCTGGAAATTTGGAAAGCCCACTGAAAAGTCTTTTTTGCATGGATAGAATTATTTTTTATTACTAATTTAGGTATGATTTTCTTTTTTATTTGCTTAATTTAGATAAATTACCTTTATTTTTTTTGATAATTTTTTGAAAAATGAGACCCCTCAAATTATCTGAGAAAATATTGACAATGTTTATACTTACTTAATATTCTGAGATTAACTTTTAAATAAATCATCTAAGAAAATATTGATAATATTTATGCTTATTTAATATGAAATTAAGTTTTAATTACAGAAGACCTGGGGGGACGATGTGCGTATTAGCCTTATTTAAGCAGACATTTATCTTTAATAAAAGAGACAAGCTATGTTTTTAATACATAAGAAATTAAAAGTTTAGTTAGGGTCATGAATGAGATTATAAAAAATGGTTTACTTATTTTTTGTAAATTATATAACAATTATATGTGACATCAAATTCTTGCCAGGTTATAATATGAAATATTCTAGTAAATTAAATACATTTGACAATGTTATTTACATAGAATTAACACTTTACAAAAAAAATTGGAAAAGTTATTTTAAAAAATAGATGCTATGACACTCACCCGAAAGGTTAAATTCCTTCCTTATGTTCATTTATTTAATTGATTAATCCAATAAAATAGCATTTTTTTAAAAAAAACATCTTTTATACCCTGTTGAACCAAAATTGCATTTTACATTTTTTTAAGCATTCAAATTTTTAATAATTTATATAAATAGAATCCTTGCGCTTTAAGCTATATTCAAAAAAAATTTCACAAAAAATAGGATTTTAAATGCTTTATTTATCACTATATAAAGGACTGTTTAATAAAAAACAGAAAGATATAGGTGGCCATGGGTTAATTGTTCATAATATAATGTAAATTTTATTATAATAAGATTAAAAATAACTATGCTCCTTTTTATATATAATATTTAAAATGATAGCTTTTTAATATATATATATATGTCGTATTGGGACTCTATGAAGATTCGGAATCTCTCAATTTTAAACATTTACTAAGGGCGATTTTTAGATTTTTAAAATCTGATTTTACAGTAATTGTATTTCAGTATTGTATAGATTACCCAAACTGTAAATTTCAACCAATTTTGGCATGAACTTTAGAACTGCTCTTGATTTATATTAATTATTATATGGATTTTTCATATAAATTAATAAATACTAAAATGTCTATGTCTGAAATTGGCTGAAATTCATAGTGTAAATACTCTACACATGCTGGAATACATTTCCGGTTAAATCGGATTTATAAATTTTTTAAATCGCCCTCGGTAAAATATTTTAAATCGAGAGATTCCAAATCCTCACGGATTCCATATCCCAATACGACATATAAAAATAAACACTTTTAATTAAAGCCGGGTCCTGAATCAAATAATATATCACTTCTATATCGGGTTTAGATAAAAATAAGAGTTCAAATTGAGGTTAGATAAGTCCTTTGAATATATTCTATATATTTTAGCTCATATTAATGATAAATAAGATAAGATGATATGACCAATCAGCAATGAATATAGGCGATATAATACCATAGAGGTATTAACGGACCAAATAAATGAATTTCACTAAAAATGATCTAATTAAAAAAACAGATAGAGATTTGATTTTAACTTTATTTTATAGATTAAAGATCAATGTTTGGGCTACACATTCATATTAAATTTTTTTGATAGTCTTTAAATCATTTAACTGCTGCCGCAAAAACACAACCGCTTATACCCAGTCTCCTTTATATTTAAATTATTTGAAAAATTAGATTCGTCTATTTTTTATTAATTTTTGGATAATATAACCCCCATCTCCCCAATTCGTTTTGTTATATTATAAGTGAAATAGTTTAAATGAATTATTGTGGATTAATTTTATCATTATAAATTTTTTTTGAAGAGAATGAACTGAACTAATTTTCAACTCTTTCTTTTTAGGAAAATTTGTTTAATAGCATAATCAAAACTTGATGCTTGAACGATTTATACTTAGTTTAATTTGATTAGCTATAAATTATTATTTTATCTTAATTTTATTGATGTGTGTGTCTATCCGCAATATAGTGAGAAAAATTTAAAAAAGATTATAAATTTGTGATAGGTATGATAAAACCATTTTCATTGAGTAATTTTAAAAATATTCCATTGTTAAGCAAAATGGTTTTAACCCCCCCCCCCTCCCCCAAAAAATATGTAATAAAAACAGGTATGGTTAGGGTATGATATTTACAAGAATGCAAAATTTTTTTTAAATTTCTACCACTTTAAACATGTCAATCTAATTTAAGAGGTCATTAACCTTCAAGTTTCCTGATTACAGATATGAGAGTGATAGTCGTCAGCGTCAAGCCATTATATATTATAATATATTCGATTCTCATACTCTTAATAATTAAACAGTTTATAACAATAAGAATTAACAATGATAGCATAAATACAACGATAACATAATTGGGCCAGAATTTCTAAAGATCTAATTGAGAAAAAAAAATTAATTATGATACAATTTAAAAAATTTGAGACAGGGGGTGCTTTAATTTACGTTTTCTCAGTAATAATTAAAATAGTAATAACAAATTTAAATCGCAAAACCCAAATATTTTATTTAATCATATAAATAAATTCAAATTAGAAGAAATTAGAAAAACACTCCTCTCTATAAGGAGTATGTTAATAGGGTTATTTCTAGCTCAACTAGCCATTCAGGATGAGTTTTATCCCGCCCATTCTTTGCTTTTTTTAAATACTACTATTATAACTTTGGAGTGCTAAACCAATTTTTCTATCTTTTGTCTTATTATTCTTTTTCATTTTATTTTTTTTTACTTTAATCATTTCTTTCCATAAGAAGATGCTGTTATATCGAATATATTATGCCCTATTTATTTAGTGGGTTGGGTAGGTTTAGGGAGATGAATAACAGAATTTGGATTAATATATTTTTTTAGTTTCTTATTATTTGAGAAACTCTATCCATATCATTATCAATTGGATAGTGATAAGTTATCGACATATGCTACCTTAGATGAGGCATCACCTATCCTGAATGTTAGATTATCAAGACATTTAACTTTAAAGTAAAATTTATCAATAGCCTTATAACGCTCCGGTCTTTCCGACAATCTAAAATAGTTGTAATCATTTAAACTTTATGGAATAAATTATTTAAAATACAATCGGACAATTATCATTAAATTTAATGAGAAAATTATGATTTAAATGTTGTTTTTAATACTATAGGAAGTTATTGATACGGGACCCATAAAGTATAAATTTAAAGTTATTATTATCTAATGAATATTACATAAAATTTTATTATCAGCATTCTTCGAATGTCAATCCTACTTGAGAAATATGGAAAAATACATGTATACATTACAAGCAATGCCCAACGTTTCCGTCAACGAAGGCTCCACAGCCACATTAACATGCACTATAATCTCTAAAATGAGTCAACGCGGATTCAAATCCTCTAATATTCAGAATTTGAGGGTTTATTTTACTATAAATGAATCCCGAACACAAATGTCCTGTATTAAAAAATAGGATAAAAAAGCGGACAAAGATACAACATTTATGCTGGTGCGGCCTAATATATACTTTTCAAAATTTTAGAAACCAGAACCAATTTTTGAAAAATATTCCGAACCGGTACCAAAAATCTTTTTCCTCCCTCTTTCAAACTCCGCTTATTAGTAAGCCCAAAATCTAAAATGTCTACGGCTTTTTCAAAGAAAAAATTAATTTTAGGTCATTTGTTATATATGGAAAAAAGACACCACATTTATGAAAAATCACTGTTATTTTGAAAATGAACACACTAGAAAATCTTTGTATAATCAGGCATTTATAGTGCATTCTTTCTTACCAAAAGCATATCTTTTATCGTTTCATCATTAAATTAATAATTTTTAAAAAAATTATCCTTTCTAAGCATTTAATAAATTTATTAAAATTAAAATATTTTTGTTCGGTGCTTTTTTTATCAGTTGATAGGAGTTTTTTTTGTCTAGTGTATTTTTGTCTGAGTCTTTATGTCCAGTTACCTTTGTAAATAATGCTAGTGATATGAAAATAGTACATTTCGTTTTTTTTAATAAGCATTTGTTTCATAATATTATTTATTTGAGAAAAATTTGTATTAGATATATATAATTAATAATGTATTATAACCTATAATAAATTTATTTTGAAAAAAAGTTTTAATGACACATTGAAATTATATTTTAGAATGTTTAGAAATCATTTTATTACTAAAATATTTTACAAAAATATATATAATGAATTTATTAAGATCGCTTGGCTGAAGGTGGATACGCAAACAATCTTGTCCTTCCAACATAAATTGATAAGCAAGGATAAAAGATTAAAAATATACAGTTTAAATGATTGGAAGACATGGATGTTAACCATCGGCTCAGTGACTAAAAAAGATAAAGGCCATTATATGTGTCAATTGAACTCCAATCCCCCTATTAAAACTTTAACTTATTTAACTGTTTTATGTAAGTTTATTAATTGACACAATATTATACTATCAAATAATGTGATTATTGTAAATTGTAAAAAATATATTTACAAACAGTCGCATAAAGACATTCTCCAACTTTTAAAAAATGTTATAAATTTAAAAAAATATATAGTTAAGTCCAGTTGTTTTAAGGAGCATAGGGTTATAATATAAACGGTTTTTGCATATTTGCAATACGTAAAACATTTATTGATACTCTTCAGCTGTGATTATTTTTAATATCTAGAAATATATTATATATTTTTAGGCTTATTTTTAATATTATGAATATTTTTATTTTGAATCTAATTATACATCTCACAACAGACCTGATCTGTATTTCAAATAAACTGTCAAATGTATTATGTCAATGTAGAGGTTTAAACTATAATTAAATCTATTTTGATTTTTTTTAAAAATGTTAATAAAAAACAACATTATTTTAAAGCTTCTCCTAAGATAATTGTCAATCGAACCTCTAACGATATAGTAACCAAAGAATTTGGCGATCCTATGCTAACATGTAAAGCTAGCGGACACCCAGAACCAATCATTAGTTGGGCGCGACTAATTGATAACCCTGTCACATTGCACCATGATAAGTATACGAGGAACGGAAGTGCTCCAATATTTTCTAGTACTTATTTGGAAAGAAAACTTGGTAAAAAAAACTAGTTTTTAATATCTAACTTTGTAAAAAAAAAATATACCATCCTATAATTTGTTTTGTATATATCTGTTTCATATCAAAAATATCAGGGGCATCACTAGCCTTCAATCTCTGGGGGTTTTAAAAAAAAATTTTTTAATTATTTTCAAAACTACCTTCTTTTTTTAGCTAACATTTTCAAAATTACCTTCTTCCTTTTATAGCTAACATTTTCAAAATTACCTATTTTTAAGCTAAAATTATTCAAATTTACCTCTTTTTATTAGCTAATATTATTAAAATTACATTTGGTAGAAAAAATTCAAAATTTTGAGGGGGCTCTTCAAATTTTTCAGGGGGTTCGAGCCCCTGTGCCTTCCCCCTAGCACTACTGATATATATATTTATTTAGATGAACAACAGTATAACCAGTGTCGTATTTAAGACGCTTTGGGAAGGAGATGGGTCCCAAAGTAAAAAAAATACAAATGTGGCTATTTTCAGTTATAAAGATTCTTATTTTATCATCAAAAAAATGAGGGTCTAAATTTAAAAGTAGTTTTATTTGTTGTTATAAGACTAGATTTGAATATATTAATTTATTCAATTAAAATGAAAAATTATTTGATATGTATAATAACTTAGATAGAGGGGTTTAGCAAATCTAGTTTTTTAGTAGATCTCTAAACACAAATAATTTATAGCGCTTTGATAATTTTGAAAACCCTGATTTTACCCAATTGTATTCTAGCATGTATAGAGCACCTACCCTGTGAATATTAGACAATTTTGGTTTTAATCTTTTAAACTTATCCCAATTTATATATTCATTTCATATAAATTAAAAAATACACAATAATTCATGGTATGCAGCAAAATATCCAGGATTTATCCAAGATGGTGGTGGTTTACGAAATTTTTTTTTGATTTTCCAGTAGTTTTTTAAAAATTTATTATTTAAAATATATAATATCTTCCGTGAAAGATGATTAAACAATTGAAAGCCCTAATTCTTATATGTATGCCAATATTTTGTGCTTTTTAATGCCCATGAGTACTTTAACCAATATAATAATCAGTTTAAAGGGAAAATTTTTTAACATCAAAATTTTCGCCAATTTTAATAATAGAAAACAACTATAGGCATTTATTCTGAAAATTTATCAATATTTATTGCTTAATTATATATTATTTTAATCCTTTTGGTAGACAATATAAAGGAAAAAGTTAGTAATAAAAAGAAAATTTCTAAAATTAGGGTCATGCGCTAATAAAAATATAAGATTATGCGCTAATATTTCGTGCTTGACTACTATTTATTAATTCCTCAATCAGTTTTGATACTCACAAAAAGGAAAGAGTAGAAACAAAATGAAAACTATGCTGTAAGGCTTAAACGTAAAGAGAGCTAAGATTTTGGAAACATTAATTCTTTATCACAAATAATTAAGGAGTTATAATTAGTACATTTAATTGCTACAATAAATGAAAAGGTTGATAAAATTGGCATCATGCCAGATTATAATTTTAAATATCTGGTTTGTTAGTGCCTTCCATAATTTTTTAATCAACTTTTCCAACCACAGCGAATCATAAGCTAAACAAAAACTATGATATCATGCCTTGAAGTCAGACAAGCTTCCGGGAACATTAACACTGAAACTTATATCAATAACTAGGAATGGTTTAAAAAATGCATTACTGACAAAATAAAAAATTGCCAAAATTGGCATCATGCTATAACGAAAATTATAGAGGCACTAAAAATATGGGTGAAATATGTAATGCATAATTATTATACTTACTAATTCATCAATCAGTTTCCTCAATCAACAAATGGAAACTAGTTATAAGCCAAATATAGACCATAGGACTCTACTATTTGTATAGACATTGTTTATTTTTTCCGATATAACGGATTTAGAAATAAAATAGTTAAAATATCATTGTATTTCAAATCGAGTTATATTTTTAGAATTTAATAAAAATTTGAATTTCTTATTGAGACAGAGATTCTAAGCATGGTTTTCCAAACTTATGAAAGTACTATTGCTAGAGCTTATGCCAATAAGTAAGGCTCAACTAATGTATATTTAAGTTTAAGCTTCAATCAAATTAGTAAACAGTATATAAATAATTTTTAGTAAAATAAAAAATTTATAAAATTGATATCAAGATTTAATATAGAACTAAAAACATTGAAGGCACGAAAACAATTATAATTTAAAAAAATTAAATAAATGAAATGAAATGAAATAAATATAAAATTTCTATTATCATTAAAAAAAATTAACTTTTAAGGTCGATTCTTCTCTGACTTTAAAATTTAGCATAAAGACAATCAAAATGATTGTGACATCTTTGGAAAATTTGATACAAAAATAAGATGAATTTATTATGGTGAAATTGAAAAAGACTACAATAGCTGATTTTTTTAACCTCAATAGAAGAAGAAATTAGATCCGTTTTAAATAAATGGAACATTAAGAGGTGTTTATCAATTTAATAGAAATTATAGCAAATTTTTGCTTATCTATCAATAAAAAGGCTTATAAAAACACAAAATTTATCCTATATTTTCCATGGGAGGCGGATCATTCCCAAACTCCCCTTATCTGCGCAACTGGTTAATATATAATAAAAAATATTTTAATAAAATTTTAATTTTAAGGCTAAATATCCAAAATAATTTTTGAATACTAAATTTAAAGTGGATACTCTTGGCATAACCATTTTTTTTTAAAATCAACTTCTTAGACAAGGTTAGGATTAAAGTTTAAAGGTTAGCCTAAAAAATATTTTTCTTTTTTAATATTTGAATCAAATATTTCTATATTCCATAATTTACCATTCTTTTAATTTAATAGTCCCTTTCGCTAAAAAGAAAAAATTAATATTAAAAACTTTTAATTTGACATTAGCTGTTTATATAGCCTGAGCAGTAGTTTTTTTAAACGGCTTGGTTTTTAAAAACGGTGAACCCAATATATTTTAGCCAAAAAATATTACACAAGCCTTGAGATTTATAGATGGCAGAAAAATCTCGAGGTTTGTATAATATGATATTGTATAATCTTAAATTTCATAAACTATATTATAGCCTGAACAGATGCATATCAATTTTTTAATATTTATGATTAATAATGAGGGTTACTTAAAATTTAGACGGCAATACTCAACGAGTAGATTCGCATATTAATTTTTTAAACATATATTATAAAACTAATATTTCTCAAATATTTAAGGATGTTTGGAATTCATCATGGGCCTTTCCCTCATTTATAGGTGCTTTTTACATAATTTATTTTCTGGTAACCATCTTTTATAGGATAGTTTGTGGGCTATTCTTCAGGTTATATTCCTTATATATTGAGAACAAATTAATAACGTTTAAATTATTTTTTTTATATTTTATTTTAATATGAAATTCTTATATTTTCATTTATAGGCATTATATTGATGCCTTCCAAGATATAAGTATATTAGAAAATAAATGTATTGATGTACATAATTTAAATTCGAGATCTACAAATCCCGACCAACCCGAAAGCCCGTGGTTTTGGCCGGGCAAAAAATTTAACAGAAAGGGTAATTCGTGGATAAAAAATTTTGGGCCGGATTGGGCAATTGACATAAAATATCAGGCATGCCCTTTCAAATATCTAATTCGTAAAATTATAATAGACTACCCATTAAGATTTCGATATCTTTTTTAATTTCAGCTTTGATGAATACTATTTGAAAACAATATGCTTATTTTTTATATTATAAAAGATGTCTAACTAAAATACTAATTCTATAAATAATTTATTAAATTCATAAAAAATTAAATAATTTATTTATGATATAATCCAATTACAAATACACGATACAGATACAAACACAATTGATTTATATAGAAATAATAGCCATAGAGGAGTGATATAAGCGCCTTAATTGACATTGAGAAAAATTTAGATTAGATATAGATATTAAAAATGTGATAGCTGAAAGATTTATACAAAAATATTTACCGGGCCGTGTCTGACTTTCGTTAAGTTTTTAAAGATCATACCGGGTCTGGCAAACCTTTTTTCTGACCATGTCTGATAAATTATTTTTCAAGCCAGGCTGGACAACTTGTGCAAAAATTTTAAACGGGACTAAGCAAACCGTGCCGCGCTTTGTAGATCTCTATTTTAAATATATATTTTGATAATCATATCAATATTTCTTAGGTCAATCAAGGCCTACTTGTCAACCCTAGCTTATTATCTTGGTTTTTTAAACAAAATTTAACTCAATTAAAATTGAAAATATAGGACTAAATGAATTTTAATATCGTGAAGTATAATTTCATAATTGAAAAAAGAAATTACAAAAATATTGGTTTTAAAAATGTTTTACATTAAAATTCCTTATGACATAATTATATATAGTAATAATTTTTATAGAACTTTTTTAGTATTATTTTTTTTAAAGTTATGCTAGAACACAGAGATGACCGGTTAACCCTACGTAATATAACCAGGAATGAAGCCGGCATATATGTATGCTTGGCTGAGAATGGGATCATGCCGAGTGTTAGTAGACAAATTCACGTCCATGTTACATGTAATAAATATAACTTTAATATACATAAATAAAATACTTGTAACAATGAATATCCTTGAATATTTCTCTAATAATGTTTAACTATCTTTTAAAATGCTAAAAATCTATTTGCTAACACCTTTAAGGCGAACATAATTCGCCTGCCTGCGAAAATTATTTACGAAAAAATTTTATTACTTATTTCTCATCTATTTTAACTTATTTTTCTCATTTCTTTTTATTATAAGTTAATTTTTTTTTTAACTTGAACTATTATATTAAAATGCTGCAAAAATTATCAATGGAGAAAATAAAAATTTAAATTCTAAATCGTTATAATAAATTTAATATATTTAAAAATGTTTGAAAAATATATAATAATACTATTAAAAAAAAGAACGGAGATGGTGTGATGCAGGGAAACAAAAATGAAAAAGGGACGTAAGCGTTGTCTATGATAGCTCTTTGGCTAGAAGGCTACCATAGAAACTGATATAATTAGCTTTGTGAATCGCTATGGATAATCGTTGACGAAGAAAAAACCCTCTCGGGGTTCTTCTGAGAGTTTGCTGATTTGTGATCCTAATTTTTTGAAAAATGCTAAGGCGAGTTTGCCGAAGGTGCCAAGAGTGGTTGATATGATTGGGATGAAGCAATGATCGTTTATTATTTCTGTGTATTTAGAAATTTTAAGTTGTTCCTTCTGGTCAAGGATGTTGATGGCGTGGTTGGATGGGGCCAAGGGGTCAATACAGGAATAGTCCCATACCAAAAGTTGGCCTCTCCTCCATGGGATTTGAGAGATCCCATCAGGACGTTTACCGTCAGATCTAAAAAGACCCTGTGGTTCTAACGTGGAAGGAATTTGGGCGGATTTCAGAGCATGTTGGATGATTGTATTACATTGCTTATGTCTGATGAATCGTCCATTGCAGGATCGACAATGTAAACTATGTCTACCCTTCGAGTCAACTGGCGAGTTGCACCCTGAGCAGATGTGGGGGTGAGTGATGGAACAATTTAGACGAATGCCGATGGCATGGGATATATATATTGTAATGTCAAAGGTATTCACTCGATTATATTTAGGTTAAATAAATGGAAATTTTTCGTAGTTAGTTTGTGCAGACAAGCGAATCCTCTACTCAACTTTATGTTTGTTAGAAGCCTAGTACATTATGTGTATAACCCCCTCATAACGTTTCTCAGCAGAAATTTACAACATTAAAAGCGGGAAAACATTATAAGCAGTTAAATTATATATGTTTATTAAGAGAAATGCAAGAAAGTTAAGAAAATGTAAAATGAAGAAGGTGATAAGACCAAATATAGGTTATACAAGTAAAATATATTATCAAGCTGGAATATGTAGCTGGCAGATAATTGATAAAAGAAGAAAATATATAACAAAAGAATTGTTCGGTGGTTTAATTAAAAATTGACATGATAAAATGAAAACAGATTTTGACGAAAAAATAGTTAACTTAATAACTAGAACTTCATTATATCTAGATCTTGAAGCTTTTAATTTGGTGTTATAATATCCTATATACATTTATTCTATATATTATTTAATTATAGAAAGATTCCAAGGGGAACGTTTTCTTTAATTTTATAGGTTCGAGTTGATAGTTTCAATTCTATATTTTTTTAATAAATCGAGGAAAATACTTTGTTTCTCCAATTATCATTAAAATCTAAATAATTTTCAAAGGCCGAAAATTTATAGATATCTCAAAATACTTTTTCATCCCTAATTACATTTTTACCACACTCGTCGTAAAATTTTGGGAAACATCATTCCTAAAATTTTTAAAATCTGGGATTCTAAAACTGGTATCTCCGTGGAGAACTCATTCATCCAACAAAATATATCCATGGAGATATGTCGTTCCTTTTCAAGACAAAATGTCTTACTATATTTTCTTCAAAGATTTGGGATCTCACATCCGCCAGCTTCTGGCGAGCTTTGGGAGCTCCTCTCTATGATATAGACTGTTCATAGTTAACTTTAAAACTACATTAAGTTCAACGACAGTCTACTTTCCAAAGAACTTTTTCCTTAATTATTTTCTTCTTCGTTTTATGTGTATTGTTTTATTTTTTTAAATGGCTACAAATTATTTATTATTAAATTGTATAAATATTTGTATATAATAATGTTTGAATATTTAGTAATAAAAATATTATAATTAATAACTAAAATTGTATACAAAAAAATGTTATTAAATGTAACATCTAATATTGTAAAAATACTATAAAATATATGTATAATATATTAATATTTAAAATTTCACAGTAAAAAAAAAGCAATAATTATCCCATATAACAATTTTTATAAATAAAAATATGGAAAAACAGTAAATATTCAAATAAAGTAACCCATGACCGGAAATAATTTATAGAAACTTCCATATATTATATATTATAAAATAGCATATTAGATATATTCATTTAAAATAAGGAAATAATTGCACTGAAAAAAAATAAAGAAAATAGAATTATGTTTCAAAGAAACACTTCTTCTTAGAATTGAGTTTTGCAATTTAGAAATAGGAAATCGTTTTTTTCTCCATTTAAAATTTTAAGCATTAGGGGGATTCCCCAAGCACTAAAGATTATAGGAATAAAAGGAAACAGAATTTAATAGGGACCTAAATTTATTAGACTTTTAATTTCTTGGAATTTCGCGAGGTCAGAATTGCAATTAGAAGGAATTGAGGTGAAGTATGACACATCCCAGGCAAGCCTATTACCGCTATGCCAAGACTTTAAAGACATGCTATCAGGGCGTTTTATTCTCATTTCAAAGGCATAATGGCTCCAAACTATTGAGGAAACAGGTAGAAATCAAAGATTTGCAAATCAACATTTTAAGATTGTTATGCCGCAAAAAGCGGACGCTGACTTTAGGACAAGAAAAAGAATGCCTACCAATTAATCTACTTGCTTATTACAAGCAGCACAAGTGTCAACAGAAGACCAAGAGGGTATTTTTCAAAAGACATGTTATTTTAAAATAAAATAATACCATTATATTATTCTTTTTGTATAAAATTTTGGCCAAAAAAAATGCAAATTTTAAATTTAAACCATTAATATAACATTTTTCTTTCTTTCTTGAATAATCAATTTAAAAAACGGTTTCATTAATTAAGATATAATATAAACTATATCAAATAAATATATATAAAATTTGAAGAAAAAAAATTGAAAATTTTATTTTCACGTTTGAAAAATCCCTTTTTCAGTAGCTTCTTATATTATTAAATTATAATTTGTCATTAATATCCATGTTTTTATCGCTCTTTTGTAAAATTTTAAAAATGCTAGTTAGGAGATACAGCGACGATTTTCTACATATTCCTTAATTCCTATTCTAAAAGCCTAGACTTAATATACTTCAAAAAAAATTCTCCAAAATTCTGATTAAGACTATCGATGAGAATAAAGGGAGCATGAACTAAGAGGCAATAATAAATTTAATAAGGCGTCATTTGTGTCATTTATCAATTATAGAGAGTAAAAACAGAGTGATAACAAACTAAAATTATAATAGACTCTGATAGACAAGTAGGATATTAATTTTTTTTAAATTTATATAATAAAACATATTAAAATAAATGTAACTAGTTGCGCCTCAATTCATTCATCACTTAGTTAACGGTTATATTAAATCGTTTAACCCATTCCCCGTTGGGACGAACGTTAATATAACTTGCTTGTTTAAAGGGTTTCCTATACCTTTAGTCGCGTGGCATAAGGATAAATCAAAAATCAAACATTTGGATTCATCCCAAAACGCGAAGTACATTGACAAATAATTTAGTTTCTTACAGACACCCAAGATAAACTATGGGGTTAGTATAGATAACAGTAAACGACTTAGATTACATAATAACCAAAACAGTTGTAAACAGTGAAATAAATAACATTTAGGACTTTAAGTATCAGTTTATAAAGAATCTTTCTTTAAGAAATTGTGAGTATTTGAGAATAGTATTTTTAACCATAAAATAACGGATCTATGTTTATAAAATAAATATTTGGTTAAATTATAATTTCATGTTTTTCAAAAGGAAATCATTTAGAATTTTAAATAGGCACGTTTCATTTGATTTGATAGAATCAATCTTATCATTACAATCGGCTCAATACTATGATTCTGGAAGGTACAAGTGCATAGCCAAGAATGTACATGGGAAAAATAGATTTTTAATCCAGATCAGAAGTTATTGTAAAAACTTAAATTTTCAATTAAATATTTACCATAATATAATGTAATAATAATATACATTAGTAATAAAAGTATATCGGTTTTATGAATCTTATTTAAAATTATTTTTAACTAGTTATTATTTTTAACCTTGTAATTTCTTTATACTAAATGATCCTATTAGTCGTGATTATTCTTGTATCGCTTAGGAATTTTAGGAACTTATTCCTCTCCCTTTATAAATGGATTTTGTACAACAATATGCTATACAATGAAATAAATCTCTTATTAAAAACAAAAATAATGATTTTATACGAATTGATAAATAATCTCATTCATTATTAAGAGAATTATTATACAGAATAATTATTAATTATTGCACAATTAACTTATAGTAACGTCCGAGAAAGATACAACCCAAACACAAGGCCCTCAAAACATTAAACTGATTATAAAATCTACAAGCAAATCTACAAGCAAATCTACAAGCAAATCTACAAGCAAATCTACTTTCACCATAATAGGCAATCATATCATTACTGACAATAACCAAATTTTAGCTGATAATCCAGTTTATCCCTCACAAAAATATCGAATCTTAAAAATTAATCATAGCGATATTTCTAATAGATTTGAAAAATCTTTGGCATCTTCGTCATCAAATAGTGTTTCAAGTTATTTTTTTATAGGATTTGATAACTTTTTTTTATTCTTCCCTTAATTTAATCAATCAGAGATGCAAACATTTAATTATTAGAGGGGGACGGGTGGGATATGGATAGTGAAAGTTGAATTTCTTTCTAGCTAGCGCAAATTAAATCTTGGCAAATAATGGTTCTGCTATCAAGCATAGAAGACTGGGCATATAACCCTCAAACTCTCTTTCCATATTTAATTCATATATTATTTTTTAGGTTGCAAACCCAATCATATCCTAATGCTTTATTCGTTAACCTTGGTCTTTAACATTAAACAATTATTAGCAAAACTCTTCGCCATATCTATAACAAAATAAATAACGCCCTGACTCTCAAAATTTTAGATGAAGAGATTTATATCAATTTTGCAAAAAGATTATTAAACAATTTGTTATCTTTGATAGTATCACTTTAAAAAATTACAATGCAACTATAATAGATACCTTTTTACAAATTATAATATGGTATATCTTTCTGGTTGTATAGCTAAAGCCAAAATATAGAATATCGCCTAAACATTCATATTAAAAAATTATACAGTCATCTATGAAACGGAAACATAAACAACTTCAATCACAAAATCGCTCCATAGTAATGTATTGACACAGACAATCAATATTATAAATGCTATGTATTATTTATGATATTATTTTATTTAAATCAAAATTTTTATAATAGTGATATACTGAAAAAATTCAGAATATAATATTATTTATAATGATTTTAATTTTTATTGCCCAGCTAAATAGAAACATAATACTCCTATTATTAAGTAGTGGTCATAGGTAGTTTAATAGAATTTATAAAAATATATTTAGAATATCCATTTTAAATATTTTTGTCAAATAATTTTGAAAGGTTTTAATGATGATTATAACAATTGCCACTTTTCTAAATTGCATTTTCAAATTATACCAAAATTAATTATATTCATTTTTAAATATTTATCAACTAAAAAAAGTGAAATAATTAAGATTCTGATAATAGTTATTTTTCTAATTGCTATATTCAAAATATCCCATTTAAATATTTTCACCAAAATAAATTAAAAGATACAAAATGATGACTATGCTAATTGTCATATTTCTGAATTACATTATCACTGAGATTATACAAAAATTTATTTTCCCATTTTAATTATTTTGGCCAAATGGAACTAAAAAAGGTTTTAAAATGACGATTATAAAATTTTCATATTTCTGAATTGCATTATCGCTGACAACACCTAAATATAATTTAGAATATCCATTTTAAATATTTTCGCCAAAAATTTATATAAAATTTTAAAGGACGATTATTTTTTATTGTTCATAGCGAGCTTATCTAATTTTGCATAGGGTAGGTGAATGCAACCACGATTTATTTTTTTCTAGAAAAAAAAATTTTATAATTATAATAAATAAATAATAAATGGCACGACTGATCTTGCTCAGTTTAGTAATAATTTTTCGCATAATGAATTTTGCTTGTTTTTACAATGTTTTGCATATTTTGTGTGTTTCAATGGTGGCAAATAGGAGGGAGGGGGTTGGGATTAAAAATATTTTGAATTTTATTAAGAGGAGGAAAGGATTTTTCGCAATTTAGATTTTCTTTACCTTCTTTTTTAATCCTCGGCTTATATGTTATTAAGTGTGCATTTAGTAAATTTTTGTGTGCATAGTTTAGAAATTTATAAACAATTTTGTGCGTGCATTTTTCTTATTTGCGTCTTTTGCGTTGTTTTGGATATTTTGCAGAACTTAGATTATTTTTTGCGGAGTTACTTATTAATGCACCATTTATCATTTATCTATAATACCTAATTGTCAAGGACCTTTGTACTTATGTAGCCCTATGACGTGGGCCTATGCAGCAGGGTGAATAAAGCTAATGAAAAGTTTTAAAAAAATCTTTGGACATAGTGTAAAACAAATTATCATTTATTTTTAATATAAAATATTATGATTTTATTAATTTCTTACTCAGCTACTTCCTTAAAATATTTTTCAGCTATATTTCATTTTGACTAGTGTATCTCTATACCTTTATTTGAAATGGTTTTTATAATACTTTATAATTAATTTTCTGAATATGTTTATCCGAAATTACTTTAATGACTTTGGATAATTCGATTAAATGAAAAGATAATTTTGACCATCAATTAATTGACAATATCCCAAAAAATATTTAACAAAAGATAAAGCTAGGGAAGATTCAGAATGGGTTTAAACGATTTTTTTAAATTAGGTCTGCTGCATGTAGAGTAATTCTATAAACCTATGGGGTACATTTTTCTATCGGCCCGGTTGGCCAGAACCCATTAAAAGAAATCGACTCCATTTAGTTTCTAAAATTTACCTGCATGATGGCGACAATTTTGGTGAATATTATTCTCAGTGGAATTATTGAACTGGCTCCGGTTGACCTTCACTAGATAAAAAAACTAGATATATAAATAAATTTTTAGAATTAAAATCCTTATTCATTAAATCCTGCCAATCACAATTTCAGCATTTGTAAAACGCGTTTTCGCGTAGTGAATTTCTGTTTTTACGAAACGCACGAAACTTTTGAAAAAAAAATTATTATATAATATAAAATTTTTTTTATCGCAAATGTATAATCTTCCTGATATGGAAGAATAAGCAAAATTAAGGTTTATATCGGATTTTCTTTAAATATATGTCATATTTAATTTTATATATAATAATGGCGATTTAAAACATAGGGACCGGCCCTGCCTGGGTATTTTTTTAAAAATTTTGTCCTGGCCTGGTCAGGGTATTTAAAAAAATAAAATATGTAAGGCCCGTGTTCCCAGGCTGAACTTAGGGCCAGGCTTACTGGAGGCAGAAATGATTAAATTCGTTGACTCTATTGAGCATTGAAAAAGAATATTATTAATAATATTCCTATTAATTAAATTATAAATGAATATGCCACAAAATTATCGGTTATATATATATCAGTTTTAATAGAATTCTAAAGATTTACAATTCAGGTTTTAAATATATTTGTGTTTTCTTGGCAAAATCTTTTGAACTTATTTATGATTATCCAAAAGGATAAAAGACATGGTTTTATAAAAATTTCCTCTTTGAGATAGGAAAAAATCAGAAACTAACAGAAAATGCATACTTTTGATATGAACGAAAATGTTTCTGCAAAAATTATCATAATTGATTTCATCATATCACTGTGGTCCATAAATTCTGTTATGAGTTTACATCTCGAATGTTATGCCAATGACTGGTAAATTAGCCAGCTTCTATTATTTATGAAACTATGTAATAAGAGATTATTTTCCCTGCTGCTGAGAGTATTTGATTATATAATTTGTATCAATAATAATTTTCAATTTTGCCTAGTCGTTTATATACCATTATAAATGGAAGATAATCTTTTAAAAATTTAATATCTCACAATAATTTTCTCTACTACTTATCCAGCTTCCATCATGTCATCAGTGGCGTCGCTAGGAAGGGGGGGGGGGAGCGCAGGGGCTCGAGCCCCCTGAAAAATTTGAATAGCCCCCTGAAGGAAAAAATTTTTTTTTAGTGACTCCTTAATATCCCCTTGAACTAAAAATAAATTTTTTTAATTGCTCACTGAAAACTTTTTTTATAATTCTATTGAATAATATATAGATTTAATTTTATTATTTAAAAATTAATAAGACTATCTAAATTTTTAATAAATGAATACTATTTTTATTATTAGATTAGATTAATACATATAAATTATATTTTCATTATGTCAGCTTGTGATCAAATTCTGTGTTAAAAATATATTAATATCACTCACTAAATATTAATTTAGCATTAACAGTTGAATCTTAATTGACTTTTATTTATATAACCCTAATTAAATTAATATAATCATTTATTAATTGAAAATTAACAAATTTAATTGTAATTAGCCGAGTTTAACATCACTAATCAACTATATTATTGATTTTTAAATTTAATTATCATGTCTCTTTCTAAAATTATTTTCAAGGTCCAAATCCAAATAAGTATAAGAGATTTATTTACAGTGAAAGAGGGGATATTTTTTACCAGATGTTAAAACAAAATAAAATGATATTATTATATTTTAATTTTAATCATACTTAAACATTAATCTATGTTAAAAAAATATTGAACAACTTTTTTATGTAATGTCACACTTACAAAAAAATATAAAAAGTTTCGTTATCACATTTTTTTTCTTTTGCTTAGTTACTATGTAGAATAATTTTAAAAATAAATATATGTAAATTAGAGGTCTGTGTTGGCAGGATTTACGCCCGCCCATACTTTGAATAGACATGGTCGGGTTTTTTAAAATATTTTCAACATTGGGCGGGTGGCGGGAGGGTTGAAAAATTTTTTAAAGTAATGAGAGGGTAAATTTTTCTTATTTTTCAGGCGAAATGAGCAGACGACTCCAATTTAATAAAAATATTTATTTCATAATATGGCATATATATATGTTTAATTATTAATTAAAAATACATTTAAATAAATAAATAAAGAGCCAAACCAGCCATTAAATTTTAAAAATTAGGTGGGCGGGTTAAATAAATTTCAAAATAACGAGTGGGCAGGCTTTTTGGCTAAAAACCCTTCAGACCTCTAATTTAAATATTCATCTTAGTTATTAAATCTTGGTTAAAATCTTTTATTTGAAAAAAAATTAAATTTTTTTTTCTCTCACTTTATTTTATCATAATTTGAGACATAACTTTAATTTAATATTTTATTCAATTCGTATATTACATATAAACATTATATAATAAGAAATATATTCGTAATTACACTGATACATGAATATTAATTATATAAAATGTGAAATATTTAAATGGTATTCATAGTCAACGAAATTGCTTGCTTAGTAGTATACCTCTTTAATTAAAATATTAAAAAATGTTAATCGTAATTTATTATATAATTAGATTACTTTAGTCAATTGGTAGTCCGCGATAGCCCCGCTCCAAATATTGTTGCAAATGATTATAAAAATTTGTAAAATCATAAGGAATAAATTGATGCATAATTTGATTAATATTGGTTATCATGTGTTTCCTTGTGCTTGGGAATTAATGACCTATATTTGTTTTTGAAGACCCCGAAAAAATTTCCAATTGGGTTCAATTGTGGTGAATATGGGAGAAGAAACTCTATTCTCTCTTCATAGGCATTAATTAGATGACTTTTATGAATTGAAGCATTATCCATAACTAAGATGGCATCAGGTGGTAACATACTAATAATCTCCATTAAGGAATCACGAAATAATATACCATTATATCATCCTTCGATGATTTTATAATGTATAACTCCACAAATTCCTATAGTGCAAAGTACACCTACATTTTTCCCTTTTGA